GCCCAGGCTGGTCTCAAACTCATGGGCTCAGGCAATTCTCTCATCTTGGCTTCCCAAAGTGCTGGGATTATAGGCATGAGTCACCACCGTGCCTGGCTAGAGAAATTATTTTTAACTCTAGCAACAGATTAATTGGTCTTAGGAAGGCCGGGCGTGGTGGTTTACCCCTATAATCCCAGTTCTTCGGGAAGCCAAGGTGGGAGGATTGCTTGAGCCCAGGAGTTTGAGACCTGCCTGGGCAACATACAAGATCGCATCTCTGCAAAAAGCCAAAATGCTAACTGGGCATGGTGGTACACACCTGTAGTCCCAGCTACTTAGGAGGCTGAGATGCAAGGATCTCCTGAGCCCAGGAGGTTGAGGCTGTGATGAGCTGTGATCATGCCACTGCTCTCTGACCTGGGTGACAGAGTGAAACCCCAACTCAAAAAAAAAAAAGAGAGAGAAAGAAAGTCTTAGGAAAATAAGTAAAACATTGAGCCTAGAACATTCAGTGGATCTATTTAGCTTTATTACATCTTTGATTTTGACTTTAGGCTGGGCATGATGGCTCAGGTCTATAATCTTTGGGAGGCTGAGGCAGAAGGATCACCTGAGACCAGGAGTTAGAGATTTTGACCTTGGAGCCTCACTGGCTAACTTAAGGAGCATTCTCTTTTTTTTTTTTGAATTGGAGTCTCACTCTGTCACCCAGACTGGAGTGCAGTGGCCGCTTCCGGCCACCGCAGCCTTGACCTGCTGCGCTCCAGCGATCCTTCCGCCTCAGCCTTCCAAGTACCTGGAATTACAGGCATGCACTACCACGCCAAGCTGAGTTTTTGATTTATTGTAGAGATGAGGTCTCGCTGCCCAGGCGGGTCTCGAACCCGTGGGCTCAGGCAGTCCACTCACCTCAGACTCCCAAAGGTGCAGGATTACAGGCTGAGCCACTGAGCCCGGCTAGGAGCATTCTTTTAAGGCCTGCTGTGTGCAGAGGCTGCGCCAGGTGCCGTGGAATGGGAAGCTGGAAGTTTGCTCTCAACAGTACACGGGTGTGGGAGGGGATTTATGCTCCCCATTCTCCTTAAGAAGCTCCCACCAAAGTTCTTCTGTTTCCCCAGTCGATCACCTCAGCCTCACCTGTATAGTGGGATTTTGACTAGAATCCAATTAATTTTTAACATAACTCGGTTAGCTTATACAGGAGAGCTAGCAGATGGTTGCAATCTGCCTCCATTGTGTGGATTTCCCCTTTCTTATGACCTTCACTAGGGTCCCAGCTTGTCCCTAGCCAGATGTCACCGTGAGCAAACACACATCATAACTCCACTCCCCCAACCTGATGCAGTGTCACCATAAGGCTTGCCATTCCTTCCAGAGCCTACCTGATGCTGCCTGTTCTTGTTCCCTCTGTTTCTTTTGTCCAGGAAGTCCTCATGGGTTCCCTCCTTGCACCCTCCCTCCGCCCACACACTCTGGTCCTGCTTCTTATCTGCTTCTTAAAACTCTGTCCATCCTTCGAGGCCCAGCTCACACACCCTTGCCTGAATCCTCCAGCTATGCCCAGCGATTTTCCCCAACATCCACCACGTGTTGCTTCCATCCTTTACAAAGTTACCAGCTCTTTGAAAGCAGGATTCGTTTTGTTTTGGTTCTTTATGCATGGCAGGAGCACAAGCAGCTGTTGGAATAAATGATTGAGAAAATGAAAAGTAAGTTCACGGCCTTCCTCTTCATCTTGGAGTGGATGTTCTTATTTACCTGTATGAGAAGCAGAATTTCTTCAGCTGCTTTATTGACTAGGCCTGAAAGTGTGCAAGGGTGTGTGCAGGGCAGGCCCAGACATGGCGGCTGTCCGCGTGGTCCAGGGGTTTGTCTAGGCTCTGGGGACTCTGTGGGTGTCATCCTGTCAAGGTAAGGACTTGTTTTCCTTTCCACTGTGGTGGGGACAGGGGGAGTGACAGAAGGCAAGAGGGGAGAAAGAAAGGGAATTTGGGAGAGTGTCAAAGATCAAAGTCTCCAAGCCATAGATTTTCTAGGTGAGAGTTTTTCAACCTTGGCACAATTGATATTTCAGCCCTGACATCTTTGTTGGGGGTTGAGGGGGCTGTCCTGTGCCTTATAGAGTATGTGGTAGCCTCCCCGGCCCCTTCCCACAAGATGCTGGTAGTACTTAAGTTGTGACAACCAAAAATACTTTCCAATCCCCTTGCCTCATTGAGAACCCTATTCTAGACAGGAAAGACGTGTGAAGCTCCTTGTCAATTAAGGGTCATTGTGGACACCCCATATTTTATTTATACTTTTGTGCTTCTGTGTTCCTATTCCTGCATTTTCTTCTCTCCATCTGAGCTGCTGTGCTAGGGCAGGTGAACTTCTTAGCAGAAATGTACTCCAACTGGCCAAGGTAAAGACAAGACGTCTTGGAAGGAGGAGGGGGATTTCATGGGATCAACAGGCTACATAACACAGTATTAATCACCCAGGCTTGGTGCAAGAAAACTCTGGGTTTGAATCCCAGCTCTGCCGCTTCTGAGTATTGTAACTTCAGACAAGACACAATTTTCTAAGCTTCAGTGCCTTCCTCTGTTAAATAGGGGTGGCATCGGTCCCAACACATGGGTTTGGTATAAGTAACACGTCAACCTGTACTGAGAAGAGGCTCAGTGCCGTGTCTGGCCCGCTGTGCAGGAAGGCCAGCCTCGTGGGACTTGGAGGCCTTGAGCTACTCTCTGGTCTCTTGGCTGTATTTTGCCGAGTGTCTGTCTTCCAGCCTCACAGCTCCAGACAGACTTCCTTCCCCAACACCTGGCACGACCTGGCTACCAGCCCCGCGTCTAAGAGACCTGGCATTTCTGGCACCCACTCAATCGCACCCAGTGTGTGTCCCAGCTTCGGAGTCACAGGGGGTGGGCAGAAGTCTGGGTGGCCTAGCTTAAGGCAGCATCCATTCTTGGTCCATTCTGCTGTGACCAGATCACAAGCAGAGTCCCCCAGGCCACACTTTTCAAGATGGAGAGGCAATTGGCTACTTGACAAGCCCATTTTCATTATTCAGATTGACTGTCAGCAGCAGTTTTGCAAGGCTTTCTCTAATATCTCTGTAAAGTGAATTCCTCCTCTGCATCTTCACAGCATTCTATTCGAGACATTTCTACCTGCCTTTTATGATGTTGGCTAATTCAGAACCATCTTTGTCTCCCCAGCATGAGCTCCCTTGGGGAAATGAACCCTGGGAGCATCATTCCCTCCCTGCTCCCTGCATACATTAAGTACACCATGGTGATTGTAGTCATTGACACTGACATTATGAACTTAATTCACAAGATCTTCAGAAAGTGTTTCTGCTGTTAAGAAAGAGTGATGGGGGGAGGGGAGAAGGCTGGCATTTACACAGGATGTGTTCTTTAGGTCTCTCACCTTCTAGCCCTAAGGGGCACTTTGGATTGTCACAAAGAAGTGATTAGCTATCCTAAAAAGAAGAAAGGATGAGGCACCACTTCCCTTACTCTATGCTCATCTTCCTTTTAGCTCAATGACCTCGCTGATTTCTTTTTTGTCCTGTGGTCACTTAATTAATATGTAGATTTTCCTTTAGGATATCAACTTAAGAGTGAAGTGGCCCAACGATATTTATTACAGCGACCTCATGAAGATTGGAGGAGTTCTGGTTAACTCAACGCTTATGGGAGAAACATTTTATATACTTATCGGTAAGTTTCTAAAACCATTCCCCCAGCATTTTTAGATTAATAAAACAATAAAAGTAAAAATGGTTTATTCATGCCTGCATTGGCAGGAGCAGATTATCATAGGAGATGACTTTTTCTTTGAGTTCTATAGTTAGGGAACACGACATGTATGTAGACAGGACCAGACTGAAAGCGTTTCAAGGGGTTTAGCATTTCCTGTCTATGACCACAGAAACCACCAAATTGATGTCACATCAAATAGGCATTTCCTTGTACCCTTCTATACTCCTGCTCCTTGCTGAATTTGAAATGATGAAAATATGCATTTATATACCATTCTGTAATAAGAAATTTAATTTCTAAGATCTCCCCTGGCTTTTTGCATTTTTTTTTTTTTTTTTTTTTG